CGGCTAGGCTCCAAGAGGCCCAAAACGCAACAGACCGGAAAGTCTCATTTGAAAGTGGAAAGCCTACTGAGCTCAAGTACATTTGACGCTTGCGGAGACGCCGATCATGATACATCCTGATGTGCTAACTGACACTAGTTTTGACATTGTAATTTGATGCAGCTGAGAAATCATCTGACTGTAAGTTTTGCTTTACTGTTTTGTTTGTTAGTTAAGGTCTTGTAGGCTGGTTTTGTTTTGTGTCGAGCCATGGAGATCAACATACAAATCAAGAACGTGCAGAAGCCTGAAGATATTGTCAGTGCTTTCGCTGCCCTGGGGCAGAACAGCAGACCTCCACTTCGCAGAGGAAGAAGAGAAGATCGGGCCTCTGCAGCAGCAACTACTGTAGCCACGCGAAGATCGCCAAGTTTGATTCTGACACCTCAAGAGCTCGAGGCACTGCAGCAATCCCATCCCCAAGGAGCGCAAAACCTCCTCTCCTCCACGGACGCAGAGGCCAGCGCCGGTGGCAGTGGAGTCAGACCGAAGATGAGGCCACAACCTGTCTCTGCCTTTCAGCGACCTCGGCGTCCACATGAGGGGCGCACCCTCTCCCCGGGCCCATATTATCGCCGAGGTGATCAGCCTGGAGCAGCAGATACAGGTATTATTCCCAGGCCTACAATGACGCAGGCCCTCATGGACCAAGCAATGCCACCTCCAGCTCGGCCGCTACTTGTTCGACGAAAGCAGCCACGGACATCCCCGAGGAGATCCCCGTCCAGAACACCACCAGCCAGAACACAAGCGCCCAGAACACAATCGCCCAGAGCACAATCTTCCAGAGCACAATCTTCCAGGGCACAATCCCCCAAAGCACCTTTGCAGCTCACTCCTGGACCAAGGACTAGCAGACGAGACTCGCGGTCGCCGACGCCGAGACACCTTGACTCGAGATCGCCAACACGCAGAAGGCAGGACTCCAGGTCACCTACAGCCCGACAGCGATCCCGTACACCACCGGCAACGGCAGCAAAGGCCAAGTCGAAGCCACCATCCTCGTCATCCACTACGCCACCTCGAGCATCCACTGCAGGGAAGGATCTTTACAGCACCCCGACTTTGCCGTCGACCATCAAGTTTCCCAAAAACCTCTCCAAGTACGCGGTGGACTGGGAATCCTTCGAGGTCGCGGCCTTCCCGGTGCAAGACGACATGAAACGGTACGTGGAGGCACTGTGTGCGAGTGCCAAGTTCCGCGTTTCGGGAGGCGTCCTGTTCGAGCACGACCTGACATGGGACAGAGGCGGTGAAGCAACGCCGGAAACCATGTGCAGGTTCTATACTACCTGGCGGCCTGGCGGCTCAAGATCTGACGCTCAAGGACCCGCCGCTTCCCACAAAAACAGAACGTATTTTATTCTGGTGCCATGGTACAGATGTGGGAGCTCTTTGGAATATGCTGAGAAGCAGAGACATGCTCCCCATGAATGCCCACGGTGTATCCCAGTTCAACTGCGACATCTTCTACGTGCTGGGGCACGAGATCTGCGGGGGCGAAACTGATGAGTACAACATCGCCCGGGTATTATACAATACCAATAGAAGCGCGAAAAACATGGCGGGGATCATCGTGGGAGGCAAAGCGTGGGGCAGCCTTCGCAAGCACTACGGAGGATCGTTTGAGACTGCGCGCGCAGCGACTCAAGAGCACCAGGTCCTCAAGGACAGCAACGCCAAAGCGTTCTGCGTGAGTCGCAACCGCTACAGCTTCAACTACATCGCCTTCGAGCAGCTTGCGCAGCCACCTTCCACAGCCCGGAGCCTCATCAACCAGTACCTCCGAGCAGCAAACATTCAGCCTGGAGGCCGGCAAGTCCTGTTTTGACAAGCAACATTACCTATATGCAGCCTCTCTATCGGCGGCGACATCCTTTTCTGAGCCTTTTTCTGCAGCAGCAGCGCCGGTGGACTCAAAATGCGGTCCTATTCGTGAATGCAAGTGTCGGCGCAACTGCTTTCTTTCTTTATGTTCGCTTGCCTTCTGTTAGATTCAAATTCTGTTGTTTAAGGTTCCGATAGCATAAGTTAGCAGCGTCCGTGCAACATGGCCTCGCAGTGGGGTGAGACGTGGGCACCGAGCTCATGGACGGCAAGTTCGTGGTGGCAGGCCCCGCAGACGGCACCGCCCTGGACTCTGCCGCCTCCCCCGCCGACGGCGTCAGAACCACCAACCAATCTTCCGCCAGCTCCGTGGCCGCCTACACCACCATCGCGCAGCAGCCCGCCAGATCATCAAACCGATCCTCGACCAGCTCGCGTACCTGTTCCCTCATCCTTCAAGGAGGACGGCGAGCACTACGACGCCAACTTGGTCTTCAAGTCCACGCTTAGGAAAACCGTCGAACCCTCAGCATGGAGCCAACCCAAAGGACTCGCGGGCATGGACATTCGAGATGTCACAGTTGCCCACCTCAGCAGGCGAGGCATGGAAGAGTATGGACTTCGTCCCCTCTCTCATGGGCGATTTACAGGTGTCATTCTCACATGCAACGTCGCCGAGACCGTCCCCCTATCACAGATACAAAAGAGGCTCCGCGAGGACAACATCGACGTCGACGCCACCATCGAGGCCATCTACAAGTTCCAGAACCTCAAGCCGCCGGACAAGGTTAAGGAAGCCACCAACTTCGTCACGCCCCTGGTGGATGAGATATTCTTAGCCATGAAGCCGTGGACACAAGTCAAGAACTATGGGAAGAACTCCGAGCAGGACAACCAGGTCGCGCAGCGCATGCAAGAGCTCGAGGAGGAGGCGGCCACATACAAGCAACGGCTGAAGTCTGCTGGGATGGAAGTCACGCCAACCAAAGCGCTACCCCTGCAGGCCCCACCTTCGGGCCCAAGTGGCTCTCAGCAGACGCCATCACCACAGCATGATGCACAACCTCGAGGAGCTCTACCTGACAGTGCTCACGAAGATCCGCCAAGCAAACGACGTCGCACTCAGCGCGGGGATCGCAAGAAGCAGTACGAAGCGATGCTCGAGGAGCCCTTCAATGTCATCAAGCAGAGTGGCCAGCAACCCCCGACCAGTATGACCTCAATCAAAACCTGGGTCACAAACCTCAAAAAAACCATGCCTGCCGAGAAGCACAAAGATTTGGACCAACACATCCAACAAGTCCAAACCCTACTCGACGAGGGCAAGTACACCAAGGTGCAGCTGGGCTACACGATGGGGACTGCCAATCTCACTCATCACGGCAGCGGCGGCCTCCCCCAGAACCTTACAGCAGCTTATCGCGGCAGTTACCTTCTTGGCTGTCTGAAAGATGCAAACTATTTTGCATCAGCGCCTCGTGCACCAGCACGGCGCTATGATCTTCAGACAGCTGCAACAGGTGGTAGACTGGGCGCAGTTTTTGCTTTTCTATGTTCCTGCGATAAGTAGTACAGATGTGCTGCTTTGGCTTGTAGGTCTGGTTCACTTAGTCTTTCTATTTCACAGAGCGAGACCAGCCGCTGCAACGACGCAGCTACAAGACCGACTTCGAGAAAAAGGCGTCGTGCCTGAGCTCTACACGTTCAGCCGATTTGAGCAGCCTTGTGCAGTATATGTCAAGTTAAAATTCCCGAAGCTCAACAATTCCGGTTACCCTGAGATTAGCAAAGACACATCGTTTTGCTACATCGGATCCACCAACCTCACCGTGGCCAAGAGAGAGTACAACAGAGTCGCCACAACAAGGTCCTGTGGAACCACATGCGGAAGGTGACAACGCAAGGACGACACTGGAAGCCGGAGCCATGCAAATGCCATGATTTCATGTACGATCACCCCAGAGCCGAGTACCACGAAGGCCACGTAGCCACAGGCCTAGAAACACTGGAGTTTTGCAAAGGCCGGTCCAACCTCGGCGCAGCATTCGCGAACGTCGGTGCCTGCAACGCCTTCTTTCCATCCAAACGACGCCTACATGACCAAATTCTCAACCAACTTCGCGGATGGCTCAAGCATCACTTATTTCCCAACGACGACCGCATCATGGAGAACTTCGAGGCATTCTTCGAAAAGCAGTGGCATCGACATAAAGAACACCAACGCCATGAGCCTCGACTCACACATCGGCTCATCAAACGTCTGGTATCCGCATTGCCACAGAATTACATTATTCACAACGAGGACCACGCCAACGCCCACCTCATGATCTATTGCCCCAACGTCTACAATCAGGCAGCATTCAACACCTGGATGGACGAGAAAACATTCCTCCTTCTGGACAAAAGCCCCGAAGACATCAAGGCGGATATGGAAAAACAAACACCAACAGTGGTTCGTAAACACTACAAAAAACTACTCGACTACAACAAGCCTATTCCGTATGGCTACATCATGATGAAACGGAAAAAGCAGTGGAGCAAAGGCCGACGATCATTGCCGACTCCAACACATGCGTTGGCCGACTTCTTCGCGTTGCAGCACTGGCACTTCAGCAGATGCTCAAAGCTACGTGGCCGCACCACTTTGGAAACATCGCAACTCCCCAGCTGTGGCAGGAAGTCCACCAACTGTTTCAGGCCAATGAAGAACAACCTGAGCGAGAACTTATATTCCTCAACCACGACCTCGTCGGCTTCTTCAACAGCATTCCTCAAGCCGACATTATACAAAGTGTGCGTTACCTCATTGCGGAGTTCTCCAAAAACAACAACGACATCCTGCTCATCGACCCCCACAGTAAACTCAACCCCGTTCACTCAGGCAA